GTTTAGGGTTTAGGGTATAGGGTTTAGGGTTTAGGGTTCATAGGGTTTAGGGTTTAGGGTATACCTTAACCTACCAAAACCTACTTTTTGTAGGGTCCCTATAAATTCCATATTAGGGTTTATAATAAGAGGCTACAAAAAAGTAGGTTTTGGTAGGTTAAGGTAGGGTTTAGGGTTTAGGGTTAGGTCTTATATCGCATATACACCTGTGTATAGATAGTACAGGATTTTAAGTGGCTGAGTGTTGAGGATCCAGACTCCTTGTATTCGCTTACCGCTTTGGCAGTAGGGTTTAGAGTTTAGGGTCTGGGGTCGTTTTAGATTTTCTGCAGTCTATGCAGGGCTCTATTTTTTGGCAGGGGTTCGGGGATCGATGCAGGGCCCAGAGCCTGGCTCTTGCAAGTAGCTGGTTTTGCAGAGGTAGGGTCGGGTTTACGTGCGTTTTTTGTTGAAGCGTTGTTTGGCATGGTTGTTCTGGGATGGGCTTACTGAGTTGGTTTGATCAGATGAGTGCAGCCGCCTGTGCGGACTTCGATGCCTGCGGCTTGGAGTTTTTTTGTACTTGAGGGATGATGTACTTCGATCAGAAGTAGGTTTGCATGAACCTCGATCGGGGGCTTTTGTTGTCATGAGCTGTTTTGATAGGTGCTCTGATCCTTCAAGAAGCTCTCCCTAAGGGAACCCTGCAAACCTTCGGAGCCCTAGAGGCCCCTTATAAGACCCGCTCTCACGAAGCCTGGCAGGACTGAGATGCACCACGTCGGCAGAAAGTTGCCTGCTCCCTCCCTCAAGGGAGGGCCAATTCACTAGTCACTGCCCGGAAAGCCCCAATAACCCTAAACGTGACGTTCGGGGAAGATTTCTGAAGTTACATGGGGTTTCTACGATTGTTATTGCTCATACAGGGCTTTTCTTGCTACAGGAAGTAATGCAACCGCCGCTCATGAAGGGCAGTGGGCTCGCCGGGTGCCCGGTGGATACGACAAGAGCACAAAGCAGATCTGAGGCTTTTCGAAAACAAGGGGTACCTTATTTCCCTAAACCCTAAACCCTAAACCCTAAACCCTAAACCGTAGGGTACTATATTAAGGTCCCCTATTTTCGGAAACCCCCATCTGCCAGGGCTGGGAGTGCTTTGCACGGGTCCGAACAAGGATCCTCGGGTGGTTCGGGTTTAGGGTTTAGGGTTTAGGGCCTAAGTCAGGCAATCGTAGATCGAAGGAAGATGGTATAAGCTTGTGAAACATTTGAAAGATATTCTAAGAGAGTAAAGCAATAGTATGTAGTAGCGCAGTGCAAGCCAGCAGCATTGATGATGGACGGGAAGGTTACCTTCAGCTCTGTCACCCAAACCACCTGCTTGTCTGAGATGGATGCTTTGCATAGGGTTATTTTGCTGAGGGGCGTTAGATTAATGTTGGGGCCCGAGAAATTACCAGCACTATTTTGGAGGTTCCTTATTATAGTTATAGTTATAGCATAGTATACCCCAAAGCCCTATTCTAATCATTAAGGCCTCTATATATGGATGTGGCATCGTCATTGAAGCTTCGGTGGGGTTTCGATACCACGGGCCTTTTGAACTCCAGCTGGGAGGGTGGCTGGTAGTGAAGTTGGAGAATGGACAGCGGCAAAGTCGAAGCCTGAATAGTTTACAAATATTATTCCTTAGCGTTCCTTCTGGTATTTTCGTTAAAGCAGCCCAAAACCCTCTTCTGAACTATATATCTGGGCTGATACATTAGCCTGAGCCTGGCGCATCGGAGAGGTGTTGCCAGAACGTTAGCACTAGCGCTCTGCAATCGGCAGTCGGGGCCAATGTTTTTCAGAGAGATTGTTTGGTTGGTGTCCCAGAGAGTTTGTTGTGGGTGTCGCTGGGTTGATTTGGGGCCAATATAGGGGCCTTAATAATTAGAATAGGGTTTTGGGGTATACTATACTATAATTATGACAAGGAACCCCGCCAAAATAGTATTGGTAATCATGTAGGCTTCTTTTTTACAGGTTGAGGGCTTGGGTTTCCCGGTGTACCGTCCTGAAACGGTGCGAATGTCCAGCTACGCGAGGCATCCACAGCCCCTCTGTACAATGATCTGATGCGGTGCTGATGAAGTCGGGCATCCGAAATATTAAACCCTAAACCCTTCAACCCCTAGGCCCTAAACCCTAAACCCTAAATCCTAAACCCTAAACCTGTACACCCTAAACCCTAAACCCTGAACCCTAAACCCTAAGCCCTTAAACCCCTAAACCCTATAAGCCCTAAACCCTAAGCAATGATACATCGAGACTGCTTGGAGAAGCTGGAGCCCCCTTTTGTCGACCCTGGAGCCTCAACCTCAAGCACGGGAAGCCTGAGGCCCAAATTTCCCGATTTCGGTGAGGAGCGATCTGAGGTTTAGGGGCTTAGGGTTTAGG